AAGCACTATTGATAAAGCAGAGAAGAAAAACACTGTTTGATAAACTTGGACGAGGCTAGCAGAATAACTACCATTAAAGCTATTGAAAGAGTGTCTAGAAAGAAATAGTCTATACTGCCATATATTTCAGAGGAAGGAGTAGAGAATAAATCAAAAAGTAAACGTTTGTACTTGCCATTTAGAAAGTCTTGATGACATCAGCTGGAGGGTTTTCTGAGTGTTATCAGAAAACAAATCCTGATTGCTACTGAAGGTGAAGGAGCAATAATCAGAAAGAGTGTTCTTCAAAGAACATTTTTGTTACAAAAGATATTTCAGGAAATGGAGGGAAAAACAAGTTTTGTAGTGCAGTCCTTGCTATCTAAACACAGAGGCTGAAAATGAAAGCTGCTCAAAATATCCTGGTTGAATTGAATGCGTTGAAAGTATCAACATGAAGTGCAGAAAACTTTCATTATTAAGTTGGGGCAAAATTTGAGGATTGTAGATTACAAAAAAGGAACCAATGGTACCAAACAAGATACTAAAAAGGAAAGGAATTTTGTTGGAGTTAAATTAGAAGAGATGCAGAACGATTTGTTTACTTATTCATGAAATATTTAGAAATGCCTAACTCTTGAGAATCTGCTACTAAAATTTAAGTTCCTTATCCTGTCCATGGAATTCCAGAGTTTTATGACCTGGCCTCTCTGGTTTCTCTAGTTTTATTTCCAGTAGGACTCAGATTCACATCTAAAGTTCCACTGTGTTTCTTTGCTTGTAGTCAACTAAACACTCTTCTTTCCTTCATACATCCATTCATGATCTATGTCACGATCACACTTTTCCTGGGTTTTTTTTTTTTTGCCCTTTAAATTCATATTTACCCATCAAACCCTTATATCTATAATTCTTCAATCCTATTCTGATTTCTTGTAACTAATTCCCCCTGAGACCCTGAGACTTCTACAGGCACCTTAACTCATATACACTCAGAAAATGTCTGGGAACTAATTTTAGTTCTAGCTCTTAACTATATATTCTATCTTTGTGCAGTCTGCAACCAATGGGTCTCCCCTCTTTGTCTCTGATACTTTGGATACAAATTGTGCCAAGACAGTGTCAGGTGTACAGCAGGTGTTCAAAAGTGGTCGATTTTCATTTTTGATAAAAGTCAGCTCACTCTTATTGTAGCTAAGGTTTTCAGCCTTTATAAGCCTGAAATTTTCAGACATTCACAACCTCTATTTCTTTCTCAGGCACCAAAGCAATGCTACTTTACTTGCTTCAGTGAATTCCAGATATATGTTTGCTACTGAACTGAACTAAGTATTTATTATAGATGATCAAGTAATTATTGACTGTGCAGTCCTTTGTCTCTGAGCCCAGAATGGATGGGGGGAGGATTCCAGAAGATATAATGGTAGAACAAGGAAAAAGACAAATCTTTGAGTTCCCTCCCCTCCCGCCAGACTGAACACAAGTCAAGGAACTTCATACTCTGTGGTTTTGTTTGGTTTGGTTTGGTTTAGTTTGATTATGATCTTTTGACAAAATAGGGTAGAAAAAATCTGCCAAGAAGAATACAGATAGCCAATGAATAAACAAAATTATTTAAATAATGAAAGGAAAATCAGGTAGACAAAGAACTTATTCAGACAGAACTTTATAAAAGAGATCTCTCATAAAATTTCCTAAATTTCATATAATTTCAGTGACAAAACCTGCATCTCAGTCATTGAATATTATATTAAAGTCATGACACCCAGAAATAATTGACATATGTATATATCCTCTATGCTCCCATGAATATTTTTTATTATTCATAATTATACACTATATTTTAAAGTTACTACAAAATAGCACTGATCTTTCTCCTGCCCTTACTTCTTTAAGGGGGGTTTCATTTGTATTATCATTTAACCTCTAATTATGAAATGAACTATGCAAAGAGTAGATCCTCAATAAAATTTCCCAAGTAAAAGGTATGATCAAGGGAAATAACATGGCAGGGTATTGTTGTTCATCATTTTTACATATGGCATTCTAAAATTTGGGATTCTTTATCTCAATTGAGACAATAAACAGAAATATTTCAAGCATAGCTTTTTTTTCCAGACAGCCTTTTCCAAATTCTACAAAACTCTCAAATGTCTACTTTTGTTAATTCTTTTTTTTATTTTTTGATTTTAAAGTTATTTTATTTTAATTGACAGTTATATATACTTATGAGATACAGTGTGGTGTTTCTATGTCTACATTCTAGAATGATCAAATCAGGATTATTAGCTTTTCTAGCACCTTAAATTTTTATCACTTCTTCATAGGGAAATAGTTAAAATCCTCACTTCTAGCTATCTTGAAGTAAAAACTACTCTACATTACTATAAACTTCATTTCTTTATTTTAAAGAGAACAAAACAAAAGAATAGAATAAAGCAAATCAGAACAACGGAAGCAACACAGCACTGCACAACAAGACAACCGGACATCAACAGTAGCTACCATAATGTCTCTTTTCTTCGAAATAGTTGAGCATACCTTTACACACAATAATATCAATGTAACAAAATAGTATAATACCATTCAGAAGAATGAAAGTATTACCAAACTTCAAAAGTAACAGGAATTGAATAATGGCTGTTATAATATCTCATTTTCCTCAAAAAATCTGTCTATACTATCACGCATAACAAAATCAAATAAAACACAACAGGATAGAACCATCAAAACAGAAGAACCAAAGCATGGTAGGACTTCAAAACAAGATGATATTAAATCAGCAATGGCTGCCATAATGTCTTGTTTTCTTCAAAGTATCAAACCATCACACATAATAAAATCAAACAAAACAGAATAAAATTACCCAAACCAATTGAAAGCATTATAAGACTTCAAAGCAATAGGAAACCATGATTATGATAATATATCCCATTATATTCAAAATAGCTGCCCCTAACCTCTGACAGCATAAAATTGAACAAAACAAGACAGAACAAAGCCAAACCTAACAAAATTGTATAAATAATGCAAGAGTTCAAGATAAGAAAATAATTAACTGACAGTAGTTTTCACCTTTCCCTCCCAGGTATATCCTCCCTTTGCTCTTATATTAATTATTTTGCTTTTGGATCCCATTAACTCCTTCTGTTTCTTATGCAAGGGTTCACGTGTATGAGTTTGAACTTCTTCGGCCATAGACATGATCTCCAGTTGCTTCCATTTACCTATAGGAGCCTTGAGATTAAGATGTCATGATCACACTTTTCCTGGTTTTTTTGCCCTGGTTTTTATAGGAGCCTTGAGATTATTCTGCTTTATAGCTGGGTAGCTTTCCACTGCATGGAAATCTTTCTTATCCATTCTGCAGTTGATGAACAAGTTACTCTTGCTTTTTTTTGGGGGGGGGGGAAGTAGTCTCCTGCCACATGAAACAATTGTTTTCTCTCCTTTGATTTTTAGTCTATGAATTTCCTTTCCAGTTAAATGTGTTTCTTGTATACAGTATATCAACGGATCTTTTTTTGATCAACTTTCCCTGAGTTTCTATAAATCTCATTTTTATAGTATAAGATTTGATCATATACTTGTGATATTAATTTTATGAGTCCTTCAGAAGTCATCATTGTAAATTTGTATGTAAAGTTTTAACTTAATGGCAAGTTTATGAAACTTGTCTCCTTTTTCACCTTTTTCTGACAGTTTCAGTAATTTTTCCCAATTTTTAAAATTTTTACTGGCACATGTAAATATATGAAATTCACTTTCACCTTAGAGAGTAAGAATATGTGCATAACACATCATCATTGCTCTGTACCCCACCCCCTTCTCCAGTCACATCCTTCCTTCTCTCTCTAGACTCCCCTCCCCATTTAACTATTGCTGTTAATTATTTTTGTACATATTTATGACATAGAATGATTGTATTCATTGTTGGTATTAGGTACATGAACAAGATACATCTAAAATCATCTAAGATTTAGGTGATCTTCCATGTGACACTTTATCTGGGTGAACACATGTGATCTAAAACCATTTAAATTCCAGGTCATTCCCTTTTTTATCCTGTGCTTCCTGTCAGCCACTCAGTACCTTTCTTTACCACTGGACAACTATCTGCAAATCAGCTCCCTCTCGTTTATTGTGCACTTTCTAACCATTTCCTTTGTCTGTTCCTCCCTGCTCCCAGTTTTCCACTGTGTACTTACTCATCTGCCTAACCTGTAGTTCTCAACTCGACAGGAAAAAAAGGGACACTTTCAATAAAGTCATAACTTTCCTTCAAATAAAAAACAATAACATACTCTTAGATACCACCTAAGAAATATGTATTAACAAAACAGACAAAATATGTTCTGGAGAATTAGTCTTCAGGCAGATCAAAGATAGAAATAAAGCACATTATGCAGACGAAGGGCACTGTCCTTTGTCCCTAAGTCTGGTGGCAGGTTTGTATTGTAACTCTGCAGCACTCCAACATGCTAAGGCAGGTGCCACAGTATAAGGATCCTTTAACTGGGTAGGTAAGGCTGCACAGTGTGATACATGTCTGTAATCCCAGCACTCCAGGGGCCAAGGCTGGAGGATTTCTGGGGGTTCAAGGCCAGCCTGGACTACAGAATTGAATTCTGGACAGCTTGCACTACATACTGACCACCTGTCTCAAAAAAAATAAAATAAAATGGATAGGTACTACAGGCACCTGCTAATGACTATCTTAGTGCCTAAATTATTTGTCACCTCATGTTACTTTTTACCATAATTATCTCTTCCTCAATATTTTCTAACTTTCACTGACTATAAGCTTCTCTGTTTCCACATCTATGGACAATGTAGTATTTCTGTGGCATGTTATCACCCTATTTTACCTCTCTGTTACAATAAAAAAAAATCCCAAAAGGATGAAATATGACTGGCTAATCTAGGATAAAGTACCTATTCTTAGTCCAGTCACCCAAGGATAAAAAAGTGGAAGAAAAGTCTCATGGTATAAATAGAGCTAAAGCAAACGATTCCAGGAAATAAAAACTGTAAGCTGGGACAATTTTTTAAAAGGGGTGGGAATGACTTATAGTATTTGAAATCTTACAAAAAAATTTTATCAATTTAAGTGATTTGTTCTTATATTATATAGTAAATACTCATGTTGGTCATTTTTCTGTTGAATACAATTATTTTAATTGGCTTAATACACAAGCAAATGTAGCCTTTTTTATTTCCAACTTGTTCTATACTTTTCATGCAGCATGTCGGCTTTCCCGAACATCACGTCCTCTCCCATCATCTTCCTGCTAACTGGCGTTCCTGGGCTGGAAGCCTTCCACACCTGGATCTCCATCCCTTTCTGCCTCCTCTATGCAACCGCCCTGTCAGGGAACAGCCTGATTCTCTTCATCATCGTCACTCAGCCCAGCCTCCACGAACCCATGTATTATTTCCTCTCCATGCTGTCCACCACTGACCTCGGTCTGTCCATATCCACACTGGTCACCATGTTGGGGATATTCTGGGTCAATGCCAGGGAGATCAGCTTCAATGCCTGCTTGTCACAGATGTTCTTTATTAAGCTGTTCACTGTCATGGAATCCTCTGTGCTATTGGCTATGGCTTTTGATCGTTTTGTGGCCATCTCTAACCCTCTTAGATATGTCACTATTTTAACTGAGTCCAGAATAGCTAAAATTGGGGTGGCAATTGTCATCAGAGGGACCTTAATGCTCACACCAATGGTTGCACTTCTTAAACGACTCTCCTTCTGCCGCAGCCGCGTGCTGCACCATTCTTACTGCTTCCATCCTGATGTGATGAAGCTCTCTTGCACAGACACCAGGATCAACAGTGCAGTTGGGCTGACTGCCATGATTTCTACTGTCGGTGTGGACTCCATCTTCATTGTCTTTTCATATGTTTTGATCATTAGGACTGTCCTCAGCATTGCCTCCCCAGAGGAGAGGAAAAAAGCCTTCAGCACATGTATCTCCCATATTGGGGCTGTGGCTGTGTTCTACATGCCATTGATCAGTCTGTCCTTTGTTCATAGATTTGGAAAGCAAGCCCCACCCTATGTGCATACCATGATTGCTAACACCTATGTGCTGATCCCTCCTGTAGTGAATCCCATAATCTATAGTGTGAAAACCAAGCAGATACGCAGCACTGTAATAAAAATTTTCCACTCTAAAGAAACATAGAATTAAGGAATTCTAGAACTAGGCAATCCATTAAAGGTGATCTACTTCAGGTCATGTTAACAATTAAAAGCAAAAGAAAATCTGGTGCCCACCAGAGCCAAGTATGCAATCATTTAAAGTTAAAGCTAGAATGTAGCTAGATCATTAACTACTTTAATTCCTTCATTTTACATGTGAGATGGCAGAGATACAAAAATGGGAAGCATGAACTGTTTAAGCATCAGGTCTAGAAATCTCTTTATCATTTATTGTTCCAAACTGTTGTTGTCTTCTATCCCTGTCAATAACCTCAGAATTACATTATGAAAAACTCACTTCTTGAATAAAAATAGATAATATTTTCTGACCACAATAATAATTTTAACTAACATTTTCTATTTTTCTGATAAGTTATAATTCTATTTCCTAAATGAATTAACCTCTAATTTATACTAGGGAAATATACAGCAATAAAAACATAATTTCTTTAAAAAGAAAATATAAAACTCTATCCTCTGAAAATGTTTAACCGTATTAGAGAGGAAAACCTCAGGTCAAGATCTTCAAACCTCACAAAGTTTTCCTAGCTGATGATCTCTCCTAAAACAAAAAATTCCAGAATTTCTCTGAGCCCTCCCTTAACTTTCTGCTCCAGGAGACGTTTAAAGTGCTATGAGCTGCAAATTAAGTACAATTTTTGACATTTACCCGGGAATTTTCAAATCTGTATGATGTAACACCTTCATCTAGAAAGTTAATTGTCTCTACCCTGCGTGCTTCCATCAATTCTCAAGTTTATTGTGCATGCATATTTCAACGACACATTGATTTTATTCAGTTAAGCTGGGTCCTATAGCTAGTATCAGGTCCAAATAAGAAACACAAGTCCTTGTCCATTCCTACAGGGAGTCTATTAAGTGACTAGAGCACTAGTCATTTGATAAGGGTAATGTCATATTTGACAACAATATTGTCATTCTCAATTATTGTTAATCTTAACTTCCATATGTTGGAATCTCCTGAGGCTTCATTCTCAGACTTTTTTCTTTTCTTTTTTTAATCTACAATTGTTATTATATTGCATATTGTTATTCTCTAAACAGTTGCCCAGACTACTGGCCCAGGCCTGCAAAGTCAATCAAACAGCATAAATGCCAAATGCTTCCCTACTTCAGTTATTATCATCTCAGCCTGGTCCATCTGGTTGCTCACAGTGGGGGACCAGGCGGCAGAGGCGGCTACCTTGCCGGCCCTCCCTAGCTGACAGGGCCCATTCCCAGCACACAGGGAGGCTGCCCAGCTCCCTTGCTGCTTCTCCCCAGCTGGCAGGACCTCTGATGGCACACAGAGGGTGGGGGCTACATTGCTTCCTGCTGTTTCTCCCCATCCAGCAGGGCTTTTGGTTTTCTTATTTTTGCTGAATTCCTGCATTAGCAGTCTCAGTTCAAATCCTTCCTGTGTCCATAGCACCCATCTCTCTCTTCCTTCTCTTCTTCATGTTGCTATATTCTAGGGTCTGGACATGAAAATTTCGAGAGGTTCTTTCTCTGCTGCTCACCACTCTGCCATTTTCCTGAAAGTCTCTCAGGCCTCTTTTTCTTTGTCACATTCCCACCCTTGGTTATCTCATCTAATATCATGGCTTTAAATATCACCTGTACGCTGTCAGAAGCCATGTTAACATCTATAGTTCGCAGCATGTCCAAAATCAAGGGGGAAAAAATGCCCATTCACCGGCTACCCTAAACCAGTTATTCTACTTTCCAAGTTACTGAGACACAACACTTGGAGTTACACTTCACACCTTTCTGTCACTGATATTTTACAACCATCCTATCAGGAACTTTAGAGACCCCTCACTTACATCTACTCTACTGCTACCTCCATGATGCTAGTTATAATCTTAAATGAAGCATCATTCATGGGTAGCCTTCTGGAGGATCTTTCTTCTTCAACATTTGTTTTTCAGTTTATTGTCCCTGACAGCAGTGATTGTTTTAAACCAGAATCATGATCTTGTCACTTTTTCTATTTTACACGCCCCAGTAGCCTTTTGTCTTATCCAGGGAAAATTCACAGTCTTTAAAACATCTTCCAAAGTGATCTGTGTAAGCTGCTTTATTCTACCATCCTAACCTGACTCGCTTCCACTCTCTCAGTTCACTCTACTACACTCACACTAGCCTTTAAATATTTTCTTAACTCATCAAGCCTGCTTTAACATCATGCTTCTCATTCTCCCTGTGCTTTCCCCAGAGACCCACGTGCATTACCTTCCTCACTTCCTGTTCAAGTATGTCTTAGTTTGATGCGTGGGAAATAATAATGATAACAGCAACAACACCTCTCCTCAATTTTCACCTGTATTCTCTCTCATTTTTACTTGCCTTTTTGTTACTTCTAATTCCTTCTAACATCTTACATACTACATACATGTATTTTTTCTTGTTTCCCCATAAAAATACTTTTAAGGTTAAGAAATTTGCTTTTTCCATGCTGTCTCCCAGCCCCTCAGACAGGATATGCTACATAGGAAAAATAATAAAATGTCTGAATGACCTGGCTCTATTTACTTCTCAGTTTCATTGCTTCTCCTCTGTAAATATTGTAGATACAAGGAACAGCTTGCACTTCCTTAATCCTGCACGTCCTCTGTTGCCTTCAAGCCTAGAAACAGCTGTTACTTATAGCACTGTCTTCATCTCCAGGCTGAGAACAGAAGTGACTCTCACAGAGACTTTTCTGGATTTCCCCACTGGCCTGGTTCCTTAGCCAGCTGCCCCAGCAGCACCTGTGCTTCTCTCTCAGGATGGCCCTGCCTAGACTCTTGTTCTCTCTACAACTCCAAACTCATGCCACAAGACCAGAACTGCGTCTTATTCACTGTTGTTTGCACCTCCCCCTTCATCGTATCTGGGGTAAAATAGCTTCTAACGTTACTCTAATCACCTAAAATGCATAAGGCTTTGGAGTAGCATACATGGAATATATTTTGCACACAGATATATTTTCATGAGACCCCAAATTTTGAAGTGTACTGTAGAAAGGGAATATATGAAAGTTCCACTGTGCCTTATACAGCCTACTATAACCTTATGCTGACCTTGTGAAGTCTTCTTTCCAGCATAAAACTTGCTTAATCAGGTCACTAATAAATAAGTATTAAAATAAAAACTGTGAAGAGGCGGTTGCTTCCACTTGTAGCACTGTCTCCATGCCCCTAGCTGAGTACTGAGGAGCCATTTCAAAGGAATGATTTATATCTTGAATAAACTGCCAACTTCTGTTCACTTTCATCGCTTTGTGTTCCCTTATCTGGATTATTCCTTTGTGATATGCCCTTGTGATAGAACCCTCACAACAAGCAAAAGCAAATATCTAAAGAAGACACACTAGGTCCAAGATGGAAATATGGAAAACCTCACTTACACTCGAGATTTGTTTCCCTATTTCCACACACTATGGAAGATAAGGTGTGGAGAGAGGAAGGAGAGAATGACAAAGAGCATCTCTGGCTAGAGAAAAATAGACATACACAGATGTCTGAACAGAAGACATTGAAGCAACTTCAAGCTCCAGAGCAGATGCCTAAATGTTCACACCACTTACACAGCTTTTCCTCCCTCACTTCACCCATTGCACACTAATCTGCGGCCGGCCCTACTGCCAACAAACTCTGGAACTTGTTAGCTTCCATCACTAAGAGATGGGCAGTTTGTATGCTGAGAAGGAGTTCACTACAATTCTAGGACTTTATTAGAAACCAGAACACTGTGGCCACTGTGGAAACTACTCACATACAGTGTGGGACTGCAAGGGTGAAAATGGAAACAACAAAAACATTTAAAAGATAGTTAAAAGAAAATAAACAAGATTTATTGAAAAAATTGGATATGAGGAATGAGACAAAATATGCATATTAAATTTTCATCTTTCATCACTAAATTCATAAACATATTTAATGTTCCTCAAATTCAGTCTCTCAACGTCTTCTAGAAGTACAGTGTGAAACACATGTCCAGTTATGATGACAGAATGAGGTCACTAGGTTCACAGTCCATCGTCAACTCATATCCATCTGCTTCTCCAGTTTTCTCTTCCCTTTTTGTGCTAAATACTACACTATTCACACACACACACACACACACACACACACACACACACACACACGTGCGCACACACCATAGATAATTGTTTCTTTCCTCCATGAAATACTCTTCTTGGATCTAATCCCCCACACATTAAATGCCTCCTTCAAGTTCTCATAAATATCTGATATTTCTTGCCCTTCCATATTATTTCAAGACTGTGTAGGTGTCTGTGAGCACTTGGATGGTAAGTATTTTATCTTTTTCACCTCTGTAAATCTAATCTCATACCACATGAAACTAGTTTTGTGGATATGTATACAATGAATAACAGAATGAACTCCATTGTCAGACATAGGTGACTAAAAATGTTTTGGCAGCGGTTGGTTGATAAGAAACTAATTCTGCTGCTGTCTTCAGAGACTAGTGACAATGACAAGGTAACATTCATGTAAAGTATAGTTACAGAGGATGCAAGAGACAGGGCGGGCTAAAGTGCTTAATAAAGTATAAAGACAAATCCTTAAGATGAAGTGTGTGCATCGCTGGCAGATAAAGATCAGAGTGTACGAGTATATGGGGACCGGGGATAACTACTGGAGAAAGAGGAGCTGCAGTGTAAGCCTTAAACACACTCAACATTAAGTCATGGGAAAGAAACAAAGAAAAATCAAAATGGACAGCTACACATCAGTTTAAACAAGCCCTGGGGGAAATGAAGACAAGTCCAATAAAAGTTAGCCCTCACTTTTATATCATAACCCTCCTCTGTTTAAAACTCTCTAATAAACTATCAGCTCATCCAGGACCTAAATGGAAACCCTTTGAGGACTCCTAAGCACGACAAGCCTAGATGGCCTAGTTGCCAGAAGCTTCCTTGATTCTGATTCCCTCCCACTCTCCTCCATTCTCTCTGTTCAGGCACGTAGGCTTTCTTGGTGTTCTAAACCAGCAGGCCTACACCCTCCTCGGGACTTTTATTTGTAATTTCTAGTGCTTCCTGACAAAATGGTCTTCCCCAGATATCACTGCTTATATCCCTCATTCCCTTGGTCCTCCCTGAGGGCCCTCCATTTTGTGAAACATTCCCTGGCAACTTCATCTTAAGTTTTTCCTTCCCTCTGATACTTATCTATTCTCTTCTTCCCTTTATTTTTTCTCCTATGGTTACCTAAAAATCCTTTCTAATTTATATATTGACCCTTGTTGTCTTTTGCTCTTACCAGAATGCACGTTCTGTGGGATGTGGGGTTTTGTGTTGTCTATTTTGCTTATGGTATTGTAATCCCTTGACAAACATCTGTTAAATGTGGATGAGAAGAGTCAGTATTTGTGATTCTGCAACAAACATTATCACAGGATATAACTTAGATCAAAGAGCCTTCATATTTGTCATTTATTTGAAATACACATAGACTAAGAAGAGTTCACTATCTCTAGAGAGAATATGGAGATATTCTCTCTATCCATATTCTCTCTAGAAGAGAGTTATGGATAAAGTGGTTGTCATCATTTGAATTTTGAGGTGATATAGTCATGTTGTCATGCAGTCATGTTACTTTTTAATGAGGACATGGTCTTCAATTTCTGGGAAGCTGAGGCAGAAGGATCACAAATTCAAGCCCAACCTAGGCAACTTAGTGAGCAATGTCTCATTTCAAAAAATTTAAAAATTTGTAAAATGGGTTGTACATATAGTACGTTGTGCAGGCCCTGAATTCAATCCCTATGACTGTGAAAAGGAAAAGAAAGGGAAGGAGAAAAAAGGAAAGAGAAAAGAAAAGAAAGTAAAAAATAAAGAGGACATGAATTCCTAGAACCCAAGGACAATAACCATTTACAGTTAGCTTGTTACAGCTTTATAAGTGGTTAGTGAGGAAACTCATTATCCCTGTGGCTGATTATAAGAGCTTGTGTTTGCTTGGAAGAGGGGGGAAATACTGTAGAGACCACTATGTGACAGTGACAACAGAATTAGGGCCCTGTGAGATTGCTGCCCTAGACAGGCTAATGGGGAGCCTGTGGGAGTGGCACAGAGGTAGACAATGAGATGTTATTCCTTTGTCCACCAAACCCTTGGGGCCTCAACTCATACTCTCATTGTTTGTTCCTATGGGCCTTTCAGTAGAATTATAAACAGGTCTGTTTCACAAAGGCAATGACAATCCAGCTGCTTTCTAAGGAAGACTGCACCATTCCAGGTGAGTGCATCCTCATCTGCAGCCTGGGAACCTGTTGCCTCCGCCATCCTAAAGGGCCTTGATGACCCCACAAACTGTTTCATGATGACAGAAGAAAGCCCTGTGTTCTCCCCATACCTTCGCTGGCTGGAAAGAAATGTTTCAAAGCCTTAAATGACAGTCCAGAAAGGCAGGTAAGAATGCATGCATCAACTTCATCCAAAACTATGGAGAAGTTAAAATGTTTTAGCAAGGAGTCAGTTTAGCTAGGAAGCCAGACAATGTGGGAGGGAGATATTAGATTTTCTGGAATAGGAACAACTGGAGATAAGATGATGGACCAAAAGACTTGGAGTTCAGTAAAAAATTCAGGTATCAGCAAAGCAGAAGAGTTGCTCTTGGAGAGAGAGATTAAATGAGACGAACTCTGTGACCAACAAAGACCTTTGAATAGGTCAGTACTCCTAAAGTAGTAAGGGAAAAAGGCCTTGAGAATGCAGCAACCCTTGTTGTGCTGATGCCACACCACTACATACCTGCCTTTTCTTCACCCCGCGTCCCTTTTCTTGGATATAGTGATCTACTGACCTCCAGGAGAGGTGACTGAGTTCTTTCCCATACTATTCAGCATGATTTACTTGGGTTTATATATCCCTCTCCCTACAGAAAAGCTATGTGTTATGGAAACATGAGTGGATGGATGGATGGATGGATGGTGGGTAGGTGGATGGTTGTCTTCAAGATAAAAGCAATCTTACTTCTCAATAAAGAATGCTTTTCACATTCCCATAGCATCTGAAGGCCAACTTGGCACTTAGTATTTGTTGAGGGAGAAAATCTGTTCTGTCTCTACATGTTATAAGGATGGAAAAGAGGAAATACAGGTCAGAGGTGTGAATTTTGTAACCTTTGAACACTGAATCTATTCCTCCTTGCTTATCCAACATAGGGAAAATCCAATTCAAATCCCTCAGTGCTCATTTTATTGTATTGAGAGAGCTAGTCACTAAACTCTCTCCATTCAGACCAAGTTTATGGATGTCTACCAGCTGCAGTAAAGATCCAGATTAGAAGTGAAGAATCCCAGGAGAGATAAAAAAAGTTAACCTGAACAATGACAATGAAGACACTTGGAGTTTTTTGGTGTCCATTTTTGTTTTTCCAAGAATCAAAACTTTTGCTTCTTGATGAAAAGCCCCGGCTCTTTAGAAACAATTAATTCTAAGGAAAAACAAAGCCAAATAATCTAACAGAAAGAGACTTTGATCAGATCAGAATTTAAGAGTTTGATTAGCCTAGAGGTTTGAGCCAAAGCACTTTAGTTCCCCAAAAATAAATGTCCCCCCTCATATGAATGATTTGTGGGCATAGGTTCTAAGAAAAACAACACTCTAGATTATCACTGTAAAATCAGGAACAGTTTTCCAAAGTCAGGACTCAACTCAAACTCTCCTTGTGATCAGTGAGAACGGCCTTAGAAACAGCTTTCAGATGAGAAGCCACCACTAGCCAGGAGCAGAACAAAGGACCTTTGCAGGGGAGAACCAGGTCGCGAGGATCTGCAGGAGGCCTTCATACTGCCAGTACCTTCATCTTCGAAAAAGTTATTAGAGGAAAGTATTGCCTCTGATTTTATAAACCCAGATATGATTCCTTTTTTCCTTAGGTAACTGACTTTGGGTCTGTGCTTTTATTTGTTTTGTTTTAGTTTTTGTTTAATTTTAGGGCTTTTTAAAATTATCATTGTTGCTGTGACTCTTTTCCTCCCTGTTAACCTTAGAACTGGAGATCTAGAAAGTGAAAAGTTGCGGAGTATTTCCTGTCCTCACTGTCTTGGAACACCCTTTATTCTTTTTGCTGTCTAATTTCTACTCTGTTTCAAGACTAAACAAAAATATCGTCTTTTCCATGAAGGCTCCTCTGTTCATACCTCTGTGCCTCCCATGCATTAAGTGAATAACTTGTGCTAGCACTTACCACAAATTCTAAGGTCTTAGTTACTTATCCATGTTTCATCCTAAACAAGCCATGTAAAGGGCAAGAAGAATGATTCTCATCTCTGTATCAATAGCATCTAGAATCTGGCCTTGTGCAAATATATCATATGAATGAATAAATATAAAAAAAGAAAGGAAGGAGGGGGAAATGCAGGTGAAGGGATGAGGAGAAAGAAAGAGAAGACAGGAGGAAGAGAAAGAGGGAGAACAGTTTATTTGAAAGAAATTCTCAAAAAGTACTGTTCTTAAAAAAAAATAAAAGATGGCAGCTACTACACAGATAACCAAGATATGGATCAGAAGGGAAAATAAGGGAATTTAGGAAAGTTGTTTTTGGATAAGCATTTCTCTTTCCAGAATCCCTCTTAAAATTTATATGGGCTTTGAAAGTGGTGATTACTATGTCAGTCTGAGCCATCACATCTGTCCTCTGGAAGAAAGGGCCTTAGAGCTTATGAAAAACATAAGTGGGGGTGGGAGGAGATAGGAGTGGAGAAGAGATAGGATGCACTCAATCTCCAGGTGTCCAGAGGACTCTCTGATTGTGCTCATGTCCTACCAGGCTGCCAGTGTGACCTCACCCTCTTCAGTCCCCCTCCTCAGAGCCGGCTATGAGTTCCTGCAACTTCACACATGCCACCTTTGTGCTTATCGGTGTCCCAGGCCTAGAAGAATCCCACTTCTGGTTCGGCTTCCCTCTGCTGTCCATGTATGCTGTGGCACTGTTTGGAAACTGCATTGTAGTCTTCATCGTCAGGACAGAGCGCAGCCTTCATGTACCCATGTACCTCTTTCTCTGCATGCTGGCAGCCATTGACCTGGCCTTGTCCACCTCCACCATGCCCAAGATCCTTGCCCTCTTCTGGTTTGACTCTCGAGAGATCACTTTTGATGCCTGCCTTGCCCAGATGTTCTTTATCCATGCTCTTTCAGCCATTGAATCCACCATCCTGCTGGCCATGGCCTTTGACCGTTACGTGGCCATCTGCCACCCACTACGCCATGCCGCAGTCCTCAACAATACAGTAACAGCCCAGATTGGCATTGTAGCAGTGGTCCGAGGCTCCCTCTTCTTTTTTCCACTTCCACTGCTCATCAAGCGGTTGGCCTTTTGCCACTCCAATGTGCTCTCACATTCCTACTGTGTGCACCAGGATGTGATGAAGTTGGCCTACACTGACACATTGCCCAATGTAGTCTATGGTCTTACTGCCATTCTGCTGGTCATGGGTGTGGATGTCATGTTCATCTCTTTGTCCTATTTCCTGATTATAAGAACAGTTCTGCAACTGCCTTCCAAGTCTGATCGAGCCAAGGCCTTTGGGACCTGTGTGTCACACATTGGTGTGGTCCTGGCCTTCTACGTGCCACTCATTGGCCTCTCAGTGGTGCACCGCTTCGGAAACAGCCTTGATCCCATCGTGCATGTACTCATGGGAGATGTCTACCTGCTGCTGCCTCCTGTCATCAATCCCATCATCTATGGTGCCAAGACCAAACAGATCAGAACACGGGTGCTGGCTATGTTCAAGATCAGCTGTGACAAGGACATCCAAACTGTGTGACATGGGTGACCTTCACTATTCTACTTCCACATCCTTATTGGTTTGATGTAATTACACCATCAAAAGAATCTTAATTCCAGTTTCCATGGGCACATCAGTGCTTTTCTCCAGCTGCAACAGTAAACTAAGTATGATTCATTTACTTCATGTAATATCATGTTGGAATAATCCACGTTACACATTATTTGGTTAAAGACTGATTTAAAATGAAACAGCCTTGGAAATCAAGTAAAAACAATTAATATATACAACTGAAACTAACTTGAAAAACAGCCTATGCCTTGGAAGAAGTATGTTCAAATTAATAGTGATGTTAGTTTTGTTCCTACTTTCTAAATGCTTTGTTATGAATACATTATTTAACTGACAAGTATAGCTTTTTAAATGGGGAAAACAAAATTGCTAATTTAGGAAAACCACAGTCCTTGCTGTGGGATTTTACCCATTACCTGAATTCTCCAACCCTGACTAATAATGCTTGTAGTTCTGGCTTGTGTGCTTACAATGTTCCAGGATTGTGATAACTGCTTTATAGCTTTTGTGATCTTCAAAGATTTATAGGATGGGTGCCATTTTTGTCCCCTCATCACAAGCAACAGAAATGAAGCACACATTAGCAAGGTAATTAAGTCACACCAGCTCATGTGTGCAGTGGCAAGACTTGAAATTAAATTTGATAATTGAATACGGTCACTTACCTACCGTGTCATGTTGCTTCCTCTTTAACATCTGCCATTTATTTCCTCCACCTGTATAAGCCCTCTGTTTTCTCTCTGTAGTGTGCCAGAATAATGCCTTTATGTTTGTCCTGAGAGATAGCTCTGGGACTACAAATTCAGATTAGTTCACTCTTTCGGTTTTACAGTGTTAGCACATACTCCTTCCCAGATTAAGGGAAAATATTTTTGCTTATTTGTCTCATATCTTCTTTATAATGTCTTTCTTTTAAAAAAACTATGTCCTGTCTCTATAAAATATTTTGAATATGCAGCATATGTAAAGGTGCTGAATGCCTATTGTTCCGAGGTAGGCTGTTTCTACTGAAATGCCCACCAGCTCTGATGAGTAGCAAAAATCTGAGCACAATAGTTGGTACTGTGTGGGCTTTGGTGGGCACAAAATTTCAGTTTGGGATGATGAAAAAAAATCTGAAAATGGATAGGTGGTGATTGTATAGAACAGTATAAATGTACTTGTTACTCCTGAACTGTACCCTTAATGTTTAAAATGGTAAAGTTTATGTTATATAAATAATAAAAAATTACCAAAATATAATGTAAAATGGCTTGTTATAAATGATGTTTAAAAAACATTAATAGACTAAAAGCATTAGGCTAAAAATATTTATTACTCTTTATTTTTTAAAGTAGCTCTGAAAGGGATAATATTTAGTCCGAAGTAGCAAAACTTTAATAGTAGGTCTATTCAGGTGGTAACAGGCCCACAGTTTTTAGTGGAAATATTTGCAGTCTTCAAATACCATCATCAAGGACACCAACTCTATTCACTTGTGGTCACATAGCCTGAGGCTGAGCTCTCAGAAGGGGAGCAGCAAGAACCCTGTCATTGTGTCCTAACACTTGGGTAAGTCACACACTGTTCTATAACCTCACATTAGATTTTATTTCTGAAGCAAAAATACAGAAATTTTTAGAACTTACAAGTGTACTTTGAAGCTCCTTCTATGACTATCAGGTAATAATTTAGCAGGATCTTTAGAAGTGAAAAAATAAATTGATGGTCATATGCATATGAGACAAAATTGCATGATCTTGTAATGGTTAATACTATCTACCGATTTCACTGGGCCACAGAGTGCAGATATCTAGTGAAGCATTTTTAGATATTTCCATTAAGATGTTTTTGGATATCATTAGCATTGAAATCAGTGCACTTTGAATAAACCACATTGCCCTCCGTAATATGGGCCTCATCCAATCAGTTTAGGGAATTAATAGAATATTCACTCTGCTAAGGGAGTATTCTGCATCAGTCACAGCTTTAGAATTTAAACTGCAATGTTGGCAAATTTAAACTGCAAGTGGATGTCTGCCTTGCCAGATTATCCTACAGATTTTGGATTCACTAACCTTTATAATCATGCAAGCAATTTCTTTTTTTAATTGATTGAATTTATTGATACATTTTATATATAATGATCACATTCATCATAGGGAATTTGTACCTGTGTGTGATATATCTTGATTCTTCTTTTTTTCTCATTCCACTCCCTTCCATTGAACTTCTTTCCTTCCTTATTTACAAAAGCTTTGTTTCCATTTTTTCCTTCTCTTTTCATGTTTTTTCCCTTTTCCTTTCCTCCCCTCCCACCCTGAGTTCTCCTTCCCATTTAAATATATTCCTCCTATTTCACAACATCTATTATACATTTTGGTTCTTATTCACATTTTTGGTTTCTCACAACAGAGAAACAATGTGATATTTACTTGTGTCCAATTTATTTCACCTAAGAGTATGATTCTCAAGGTGCATCTATCTAGCTAGAAATATTTTAAATTTATCCTTCTTTAAGGTTCAGGAGTACTTCATTGTATTAAAAAACCTTTTATTGGTTGATAGGCATTTGGCCTGTTTTTAAGATCTAGTTATTACAAACTGTGCTACTGTAAACATGAGTGTGCATGTATAACCATGATATGATGTTTTTAATTCTTTCAGGAAGATACCATAAATAGAAAAACAGCTGGATGAAATGGAATTTTTAGTTTTAGTTTTCTGAGAATCTCCACCAACCATTTCCACAGTGGTTCTACAATCCTCCACTCCCACTAACAGTGCAGAAAGAGATCATGAGACCAACTGTTAACGTAAGTCTCTCTTTCTCTCTACATCTCTTATTTCAGTCTATATATCTGTCTATCCATCCATCCTTTTAGAGACCTGAAGGTTGACAGAAGAATAAATTCTCCCTTTGAGCAGCTAAGCTATGAGGGAGAACTGAAATTTGAAGGAAAACTCTTAAAACCTGTAAAATGAAAAACAAAATAGATTGATCATCCAGCCTAATATTTGTAGACATACGAATTATCCAAATTCAAAATTTTGTAAAACATATTTGCTTAAATCACATGCTTCAAGGCCAAAGACAGATTAATTGTTCATTTTGCATGACTCATAAATTCTAAACACAAGATCCTTGAAGAATCCAATCAGAAACTTTTCTCTGGTTAACCCCAGAGCCCCATTCTATAAATAGTCTTCCTTTTGAAGCACTTAATGGTTCTTCAATAAGTACTCCCTATCTGCAGTAATTTAATAAAACTAGCTTTGTCTGACTGGAGGCATGTCTCTGGCAGTCTCTTGATGGTGATCTTCAGCAAAATGGTAAACATATGAGAACTGTATAAGCATGAGGTAGCAGCCTGCTTAAGAAGTGTCCATTGTTTTGGTGTGAGTGCACACCAAAGCAGAGTCTAAGCCAAGGACTTAGATGAAATACTATAAATAAGACATTCTTCTGGGAGACAGAAGTCAGGGAGCAGAAAAAGTGACACCAGGAGAGAAAATTCAATGTAGGTCTATTACCAAGGTCACTGCCTGAGTCTGCCAGGAGTTCTGTACAAGATGCCTGGGTGAATCCTCTGTCCAAAAGAAGGTCTGAGACATTTGTGCATCAATTCATTCTTACTCAACTGAGAGTTGCCCTGGAGCATTCAATACTTGTATTTTCAGTTTGTGCTTTAAAGAAAGTTTTAAAGCAGAAAAACAAAAAGAAAGGGCACCTATTTGAAGTGGGAAATAAAATGAATGGAAGTGTCTGTCTTTTTTTATTTTGTTTTATTTTATTTAAAGAACAGAAAAATAGTAAAAGAGTACAAGTAATACAGAATTTCAAAATAAACAGCAAGAAATCACTAGTTAATAGGTTACATATTGTCATCTTAGAAACAGTTGTTCAAGTTCCAAAATTAAAGCATACAAAGTAGACATTCAAACAATGAGACTGAAAACAGTTCTGTTCAATGATCCAACAAAAACTTAGTAATATGCTCATCTGTCTTATATACTTAAACACACTTGCAGTTGTATCATTTAGAGCACTTTCTTTTCCTCTCTTTTTTACAATAACATTTACACATTTTGGGTTTTATTACTCCCACAGTTCTCATTACTTTTTTTTTTTGGAAGAGAATAAAACCAAATGTGAAAAAACAAAGCAGAGTCAGTCAAAACAAAGGATGGACATAGTATGTGATGTAAAAACAGAATACTTAACTACCAGTAAAGTCAGAGGTGAGCTGAGAAGGCGTGACTTGGGAAACAAGGGCATTTGCTCTCTGCAGGTTAAAGGAAAGGTGTAAAGATTTGAGAAATGTAGAATTTGATGTGTCTCTTCCACTTAAAACTATCACCATTAAAATCCTACTATTCATCCTGTACTATAATAATACCTTACTTATATAATCCTACAAATAAAGATTTGCAGTGACCATTCTGAAGGCCAGGAAACAGAGCCTCAAAGAGGTGATACAAGTTTCTCAAAGTCATTCTGTCATGAAAGGCAGAGTCCGGACTTGAAACCAGGTCTTTCTGATATTGAAGTGTCTTCTTTCACATCTCATTATATTACCCTTGATAACAATCGCAGCCTAAACAGCAGGCTTTGGAGGAGCCCAAGTAAGTGGTAAAAAAAAATCATGAGAAGTGACTTCTTTGGCCAGAAGTAATTCTAGATAAATTATGTCCCCGTGTTTTTCTGTCTGAAATTTGGGTGCAGTGTAACAGCTACCCTTCAGATCTCAAGGAGGGTTTAGACACAAACACAGGATCCTTGACTTCCAAAGTTTCCATGTCTCCTCTGACAGGAACAAAGAATAATAGTGAGTTAAACCAAACATCCCTACTCTCACAGATTCTACTCCGTGAAGATACATGAGAAGCTCCTTAATTTTTAAACCATTTTATTGAGATCCAATTGATATTCAAGAAGCTGTAGCTATTTAATACATACAATTTGATGGACTTGTATATTACTATACACTCCTGAAACTACCTGTCATCTCCAAGAGCTTTCTCCTGACCAGTTGTTGTTATTTTGCATCAAGAGCACTCTACAATGGAGTGCTATGCTTCCAAGAGATAAACTTGAGCCATTCACAGCTAGGTGCTTGCAACTTAAGAATACAGGTTAAGTAAAATAAATCAGACACACATAGCTGCTCTTATATGAGAAACACTAAATATACAAATAAAGAGCAAAATAAAAAAGGGATAAATAGGAAGTAGAGAGAAATTCAATACTTCTCAAATTACATGTTCCATTTTTGAGTATTTTGACATATATGCTAATCCATTTCATTCATACTAACAGTTTACCCTAGTTCATTGAAAAGAAAGTTTGTATTATTACTCATTTGTTTTTTGTAAGAATCTTTTTGGCTTATGTCTTGTACTGAGAAACTAACATATTTTCAAGATGATGATACACAGTGTAATAATACTATTATTCTCTTATTATTTGGTCATGAAATTTTTAGTTTTTCATAAAATAAAAAGAAAAAAATCTACCTTCTTGGAAAAATTTTAAGTAAACATATAGTACAGTTAATCAGAGGCCTTGTGTTGAGTTGTTTTTTAATGACTGTCTCCTATTTCATATTATGTGACCTTAGAGCTAGTCCAGAGAAAAATCCAGGGAGGAGCAGAAATTTAGTATGCCCTGAATCCCATATTGAAGAGAGGACTGAGCCCTGGGATAGAAATTGAGAGCTCTGAGTTGTATTTCCTATTCTGCCACTAGGTGCATGATGTTAGCTAATTCACATAATTTCTTTTGGGTTAACACAATGGTTGCATTAGATAATCTCTAAATTCCAGTTCTGTTCCAATATGATATTCTTTGAATACTATTATAAAATCACAGACAATTCCAAAGCCTGACAGGACTGATATTCTTGGGCTTCCCTGAGAACCTCCTCTGTCCACATGAGACAGCCAGCCCCTTCCCTACAGGCACAGCTGCTGTCTCCCCAAACATGGCATTTTTCTACTTGATCTTCCAGTCTCTGATTCTGCCACTTTGAGCTCTTTCCAAAAATCAAAACTGCACCCAGAGATGGGATTTTCCGCCATAGTAGGTATATACAAGCTCTCTAAAAGGAAGCTGGGCCCAACAGAAAGCACAGATGTTCTGTGAGTCATCAAGTCAATTCATTCTTCGTGAGACTCATTTCCCTCGTCTGTTTTTCTAAGGATAATAACTAAATCTGCTTCTCAGTGCTTTTCTGAGAACTGTGTGTAACATAAGCCATGTACCACATTTAGCATAGTACTCAATACATAGTATGAAGTCAACAAATATGTGCCATTATTATTACCATAGAAGGGATAATAATCCTTGCCTCACAGATGTGTGTGTGGGGAGTGGGAGATAGGAATATACCCGGGGCCCTGACAAGCAAGTCATAGTTTTTCTTACAACTCTCACCAAGTGAAATGAGCTGAGAGCTTGGGATTTAATAATGAGTCTCCCAATCAGGTGGGAAGGCAGCACACACTTGCCATTCCCAATACTAAGGATTGCAAGTTCAAGCACAAACTGGGCAATTAGTGATTTAGTGAGACTCTGTCGCAAATAAAACTGGCTGAAGAAGTAGCTCAGTGTGAATGCATTGAGTTCAAGGTCCAGTATCACAAGTTCTCTCTCTCTCTCTCTCTCTCTCTCTCTCTCTCTCTCTCTCTCTCTCCCTCACTCCCTCCCTCCCTCCAGAAATATGGATGGTATATGAAAAAAGGAAAGAAGAATTTCCACTGAGGAAAATGGGATTTAAATGAGATGGGATGGGAAAGCTAAGTAATCTGTGCACTGGAAGAGGAAGGCTAATAGAAGAACAGTTTCTACAGTTGCTTCAGCTAAGTGTGACCACATGTCAGAAGATGGTAAACTAAAGGAAGGGCTATGGCCCCTGCTTATGTCTCTGTCACAGACCAGAGGTCTAGAAATGTATTTGCATTTTAATCCTAATATCTAGAAGACTTTCCTGGATTCCTCCTGACATGGGGAGAGCTGAGGCAACTAATCCAACCAGCTCCTGCTAAGAGCCCTCTAAAATTGGGAGTCTTAAGCAAGTGATCACTATAGTGAGAAGATCTTTCCCAGTGAAACAAAGTCTCCAGGGACTGAGGACCAAGACAACATTGCCCTATTCCCAGCCATGTTTATGTTGGCCTAGTCAGTGGAGGGCACCAGTTTAGGTAGCCAGGTCCCCTAAAAGGCCGCAATCCCTAGTTGCCCGAGGACTAGGACAGCTCCCATCCCCCAGTAATTTAATCTAACCTCCACCTCCAAAAAAGCACATCATTTATCCCAGCCTGGGTTGATAAGAAAAAGAGAAAAACATAAATTTCCTTGTTTCTGGGACTAGAGATTTCCCTAGGCTTTTTTTATTACTGGTTGAAAGATTTATGCTCAATATATATTTGCAACAAGATTTTATCAGCATCATGTATTTTAGATTCTTTCCAATAGTTATCACCATTCAAATCTCTCCACTGGTGTGAAAGTTAGTACCCAGGATTTATCTCTTAATTCCAATCAATTATGAACATTCAGGAATCATGGATAATGTTCCATGCCCTGAAATATGAAGGAAATACAAAAATAAACAATAGTGCATACTATAGTGGGTGACATATAAAACAAAATTTATTAATAGCAAGCCCTCTGTTCCCATAAAAGGATTTGAAGGTTCAATGGCTACCCAGAGGGCAGGTGGGGCAGGGAGAGGGACAAAGAGTGGTAGGGAGGAAGGGAAGGAGGAAGGGAAAGGGAGGGAGACATACACACGGAAAGAGAGAGAGACAGGGAGAGAGAGAGAAGCTTTGCTTTGCTGTGGGGATGTAAGAGAGATTCATGAACAGGTGATATTTAAACTGAGGCCCGATTGGATTTGAGGGAAATAAATGGAGAAAACCAAAGGGAATATATAGAGACATTAAACAGATGACTTCTGATACTGCAAGAAGCTTTTATTGCTGGAACATAAGCTGTTTCTTCCTTTGGGTTTAACAGAAATGAACATCTAAGTGCTGCTCTGTGGAAGATCAGATCTAGTGCCCAACTAAGAGGAATGGTAGAATTGATGCAGGGGAAAAGGAGAACAAAAACAAAGGTGCGTTACATAGTTGTCCACTCAGTGTACAACTGTTGCCATGTCTCTTAGGAATCCCTAGTATTTGTCTCAGCATCTTCCTCCCAGTGTAATCAAAAGAAAAGTAATTTTCCTTCTTATACTCCATTAGTTCGTAATTACCAACAGAGCATTAAATCCCAGCACTGAAAAACTGCCTCTACTTTAGTAATTCAATGGATTCCTGTGGGCCACTGTGCCATAGCATCAAAGGACAAAACCCAAGTGGAGAGTGGGAGGGGCACATCGCAGGGCAGAGGTGAGGCTATGGCAGGTTGCACCTGGCCAGGTTGGCCAGAGCCTGCACAGTAGTAGTAGCCAGAATAATAATAATCTAGAACTGGCTAGAATAATAATGAAGGATGCAGGGATTTTAAGTGATTTACAATTTGATTAAGGAGAAAAGATAATTTTTCCAGTTTTATAAAAGTATAAGTGACAAGCGAAATTGTATCTATGGTGTAAAACTTGGTCTTCTGACATATAGTGTACATTGTGAAATGCTTACCACAATCAAACTAATTAACATATCACACGGTTGCCATTTTGTGATAAGAACATTTAAGACCTACTCTCTTAGAAAATCCAGCTATACAATACACCATAGTTAACAGCAAAAGAGCTACAGAATTTATTTACTCCTCATAACTGAAATTTGTACTCCCATTTCCTCTACCATCCACTCCCTAGAAAACTATTTTCTATTCTCTGCGATACCAAGCAAGGGCTTCATGCCCAACAAACACAGAAGTCATTACTAAAGCATAAGATTTTGCCAAACAAGAGATTTATTGCATGTAGGTTGACCAATAAGAAAACAGGAAGCACACCAAATCTGTTCATTTATTGGTAACAAAATAATTTAAGCAGCTATGGGGAAAGAGAGGGCTGGTTGGTTATGACTGGAAGTCTTAGTAAATGAGTCTGCACCTAGGCGACCAGTGCAGGTGGACCTTGTGGATAATTCTGGTTTGTCTAGAAACTGCTAGAGTTCAAGGGACCTGAATTCTTTGATTCATAATCTGTCCACTGGCAACTATTGTCTCCACCAGTCTCTGAGCATCCTTCTGTGTCCGTTCCTGGGATTCTACACCTCCAAGTACAAAAAGCAGTTTTTAGGAACAGGGAAGTTGCCATCTTGTGGTTTCATTCCTTCTGTGACTGTTGTACCAGTCTATACTCCCACCAACAATACAGAAAGTGTTCTTTTTCCCCACATTCCTGCCAGCATTTGTTATTGCTTGAGGGAATGGTTTCTAAATGATAACCATTCTTTCTGGAGATGGAATCTCAGTGCTGTTTTAATTTGCATTTCTCGAATGACCAGTGATATTAAAGTTTTTCATATATTTACTTACCATTGTACTTCATCTGAGAAGTATATATTCATCTCAGATGCCCATTTTTGGATTGGGTCTTTGAATTTTGGGAGCCTAATTTTTTTGTTTTTCTTCATATGTTCTAAATATGTGTCCTTTGTCTGAGAGATAGTTGGTTAAATTCTTTTCCCATTCTGTGAGCTGTCATTCTGTTGTTAGTGATTTCTTTTGATGTGCAAAAATGTTTTAATAAGATGAGATTCCAGTTGTTGATTCTTTGAAGAACTTCCAGTGTAACTTGAGTTTTGTTGAAATTTCTCCTTTAAAGGGTGAATAATATTCTTTTGTGTATCATATTCTTATTATCAATTTATCTACTGAGATGGACACAGCTTTCATCATTAGCTATTGTTATACCAAGCAAGAAAATTTTATCTTTTTCTTTCTGATTTGGATGCCTTTTTGTTTTCTTCCTGAATTTCTCTGCCTAATACTTTTACTGACATATGGTCTGTATTACGCTAGTGTGTGTGCATTCTGTACTTTCAATATAATACCCTGACTTTATTATTTTATTTCTGTTTTGCACAACGTTGCCTATGAGGGAACTGGGTAATGTACACATGGAATCTCTTTGAATTAGAAATGCATAAAAATGTACAACCAGTGCTAGAGATTTAGCTCAGTGGCATAAGCATCTGCCTGGCAAGCCTGAGGTTGTGAGTTCAAACCTTGGTTAAAAAAAAAAAAAAAAAAAAACTACAACCATCGCAGCATGAGCTTTATTTTTTAACCCTTAGATTCCATTATACCTCATTCAGAATTTTTTTACAAGTGAAAGGCAGTCAACAAAGAAGTTTTATACTTAAAGAGAAGAAATGAATTTGAAGAAACACATTCATTTTCTTTGTGGCAGGATGTGGATGTAGATATAGAAATGATTAAAATAACAATCGGAGGTAGAAGGAAGCTTTGAGAGGATGCATTTGCAGGCTTTGCTTTTCTTTGTGAAGTTGGGAGTGACATCAGAAGAGCTACTGAGATTAGAGGGAGCAGACTGAGAAAAATGGTGATGATTAAACACTGAAAGAGAAGAATCACAACTTACATTCTCATATTGTGTTTTTCATTTAAATTTTCAAATTTACATAATTTTTTTCTGTAAGTTTACTCATCTCTTCTCGATGTTATTTCTTGTGCAACTGGTATTCTGTTCAGGTAGTCATTGCTATTTCTATATCTTTAAGAGATTTACTTGTTTTGTCTTCAGTAAATTTAGTGTTTATTTTAATATTTTAAACTATTTAAATATTAAAATGAAACATTAAATTTGTTGGAAGATAGAATAGGCAGAACCTTTGAAGATATTGGAATAGTCAAAGATTTATTATCCACACCCCAATCACACAGGAAATACCACAAAGAATCAACAACTGGGATCTCATCTTACTAAGAAGCTTTTACACAGCAGAGTAAAGAAACGGCCCACAGTATGGGGCAAAAAGTTTTCCAGCTATTCCTCAGGCAAAGGATAACTATCTAGAATATATAAATAACTCAAAAATATTTGAGTCCTCTTGTGATTTAAAGACCCAATCCAAAAATGAGCATCTTAAATAAACACTTCTCAGAGAAATAAATATAAATGCAAATAAATTTTTGAAAATGTATTCAATATCTTTGGTCATTTACAAAATGCAAATTAAAAGAACTCTGAGATTACATCTTACCCCAGAAAGAATGACTATTTCCAGGAAATCAACCAATAACAAAACTGTTGATGGGAGTGTAGACTGGTGCAACCACAGTGGAAATTAATGTGGAGATTCCTCAAAAAACTAGGACTGGAGTTTTCATTTGACCTTAGCTAGTTTGATTGTTGGCACCTTCCTGAAAAAAACTAAAATCATCATACCACAGCAATAGAGGCACATTCATGTTTATAGCAGCACAGTTTGTAATAGCCAAATCTGGGACACAGCTCAAATGCCCAACAACTTGATTAGATTAAAGAAAATATGTTTTTTTTAATGCAAGTCAGTACTACTCTGCCATAAAAAAGGATAAGCTTAAAACATTTTTAGTTGAATTGATGAATCTTGAAACCACATTCTTAAGTGAAATAAATTGGACACACCTATAAATATGACATTATCTTCCTAGTGTAAGAAACTGCAAGTGTAAATAAGGGCCAAAATATTTAATAGATATTGTGAAATGGAAAAATATGTTCAAATGGCAAAGGGAATAATGAAAAAGGCAGATGGAGAGTAAAGAAGGAAAAAGTACATAAAAATGAAAAAGAAAGGAAAAATAGGAACAAAGCTTTTGTAAATATAGAGGGGAAGAGAGATTGAAGGGTCAGTAGAGGAACAGGGAAAAAAATAAGTTATATCATGCACAGGTACAGATTTCTTATGATGAATGTGACCATTATGTATACTTAAAATATGCCCATAAAGCTATTTTTTTGAAAATAAAAACTGTTTACATCTTTTATCCATTGTGCTTTTATCTTAGTACGTATATGGTGAGAGATATGAGTCTAGCTCAGTCTTTTGCATATGTATACCAAGTTTCCCAGCACCATTTGTAAAGAGGCTATCATTCCTCCAACATATGTTTTTAGTCCCTTTGTCAGAGATTAGATAACTGAATGTGCTGGGGTTGTTTCTGTCTCCTCTTTTTTGTTCCATTTATTTTCATGTCTGTTTTCGTGCCATTTTTATCACTGCAGCTTTGTAATACAATTTGAAACCTGGAATTGTGATGTCTCCGGATTTGCTCCCACTTCTCAGGATTTCTTTTGCTATTCTGGGTTTCTCCCAGTTCCATATGAATTTTAGATTAACTTTTCTATTCCATGAAAAATATTATTGGTAGCTTGATTAGTACTGCATTACATCTACATATCAGTTTTGATAGTATGGCTGATTTGATATTTGTTCCACCTATCCAGGAACAGCAAATATTGTTGCACTTTTTGATGTCACACGCTCTGTGGGGAAAAAGGAACTTTGCCATGGTTGGTGGGAATGCAAACTAGAACCAGCACTGTGGAATCTGCAGGATGGAAATTCCTCAAAAAACTAAAATTGAAATTCTATTTGACCCAGCTAATCCCTTTCTATGTATCTTCCCAAAAGAATCAAAGACATAGTATAATGATACATACCTATGTTTAGAGCAGCACAACTCATAACAGCTAAATCTTAGAAACAGCCTCTCTGTCTGCCAACAAGTGAACAAATAAGAAATTGTAGTATTTATTCCCAATGAAGTTCTACTCTACCATAAAGAAGGATAAATTTGAGTCATTTTTAAGTAAATGAATGCATCTTAATAAAGTTAAATGAAATAAATAAGACACACAGGCTTAAATATTGCATAGTTTATCTTGTATGAGAAACCCAAAGTATGAATAATTTAAATAACAAAATAAAATACAGATAATAGGTAACAAAGAGATAAAGTTGATAGGGAACCAAGAGAGGAGTAAAAATAATTAAGATGTGTCGTACTCATGTACCAATTCCCCAAAATGAACATAATCATTATTTACTGAAAAGACATACCAATAAAAATTTAATGTTTTTAAGCGAAACAAAGTGGCTCCAGGTGAATCATAATAGCCCCATTTGATTCAAAAGCGCTGAGGTCAAAAGAATTATGGGAATCCTTCAGAAGTGAGGCAGAATGAAGAAGGAGCTTGGAGTGTGAGGCAATAGACTTAAGCATTTGAATGCAGGTTTGACTAGACTGCTATTCTTTTTTCCACTGTCTACTGTTTCTCCCTATAAAACCTCCTTGATTTGATAGGTCAGTGCCAACCTAGAAGTGTGGTTAGAATCTGCTTGCTCACCTCTGAGAATTCATGTGTTCAGCCCTAGTATCTGTCCCAGAATGAACTGAGAGCTCAGCAGCACAGGATCTGTGGGTCTTTCAGAAATCTGTCCCTCTCTATTTCCTCTCAAGCTTTCCCTGACTTAGGCTGGCTCAGCCAGTGCTGGGATCCCAGCCACATTCCTCCATGTGCCTACCTGTGACAAAGACTGCAAACTTCTGCAGGATTCATCCTGAGACCTGGCCCAGAGTCTTTGAAATACTGTCCTAGAAGATTTCAAATTCAGTTGAGCCACAAAAGCTGAAAACCTCAAAAGATAATCTAAATTTGAGGGGATATTTGTACAGCCTAGTATTCTAGACTCCCTTTTCTTCTTTTGTTTAATTCCTCCAAACATTTTGCCATTGATTTCAAAGCCAGGCACAACTCTCCCACTCTCCAGGGACCTGAGTGGAATGACTCCTGTGCCTGGTCTTCCCTAGAGTCAGGTGACACCGTTAAAAAAGCCCTGTGCAGTGAGATAAAACTCAGTCCCATTACCTCAATCAGCTTGCGTTTCTGCAAAATGTGAGTGTCAGGGCAACTTGAGACAATAGCCAAGGTGAGTACCTAGAGCGCAACACATCACTCCCTTCTCCTTTTCCCAAATAAATGACTCCAAGCATCTCAGCCTCTGATGGTATCAGTTGGAAGGGGCTGTCTGCAAAGCAAAAGAAGGAGAAATAGTCTGGAACAATGAGATATGATTCTATCCTAAGAGAGAGCAAGAGAGCAAAACAGATCGACTTTCCACAGTACGGAGGTTTGCATATCGGATAAAAATGGGGATCCCAGACCATATTTCCAAGGAGATATGTACCTCAGTCTTTACAGAGATTGATGAGAGGATGTGTCCAGTTCTTCTCCCATCTAGCATTCTGAGCAGCAGTTCAATTGCTCACCTGACCTCATCTGGACCGGCATTTCTCCATAAACATTCCCCGTCACGTTCTTCCAGCTGGAAAGGTCCCAACATGCCTGTCAGGTGGTGTAGAACAAGCCTGATTTCCAGAATCTTTGAGTGAAGTAGGAAAGAACTGGGTAATTACACCTTACTCAAATAGCTTGCTCTCAGTTCTGCCCATCTTTCATTTCTATACAGCATCCTGGAGTCCAGACCCTTGCTGCTAGAATTTTTCTGGAAATTTTGCCTGCAAGAGTGGAAAGTGCAGCTAAGACAAAAGAGTTTGAGGCTGCTCTTCATAAAACCATCCTGTTTGCAGTGCCACTCTTCATTCTTGCTCTTTTCAACTCTAAATTAGTCTTTTAAAGGGGGACTGTAACCTAGCCTCTCTACAAAACACTGAATTTTTTCTGCCAGTTTCTTAGTATTCTTCCCATTTTCATCTATTTGAATCCTTTGTATCCCATTCTATTTTTGTGAATTAATGACTTTTTTATTTCTTACTCTCACTTAAATGTGAAAGTGATGATAATTATTCCCACAAATCTCCACATTTAACTCTGACCCTGAAAGTTGTCACTTTTATACAGAAATACTATTAATTTTAGTAATATTTCACTATGAAAAAACAAAATATTCCAAATTAGGGAAAAAATAAAGGTCTATATAACCGTATTCTAACCCTATAATCATCAGTTCTTAGCTACTTTTGTGGCTATAAATGGTCCTCACTAAGTCATCATCTCCTTCTATATTTTTATTTTAAAGAGAAAAAACAGAAAAGAAAAACAAAAAACAAGAGACATACAAACAGCAAGAATAACAAAAAACCTAAAAAGCAACAACAACATAAGCTTTCAAAACAAGATGATAGGAATTTAACAATGGTTATAACATTGCAGATTGTTGTCTTCAAAACAGTTGCTTAGATTATCAGATATAAACATGCATATTTGATCTAATCATAAGAGTATTAACTGTTCTTTTCCAAGAACTAACAGAATTAGTATTATAATCATCTTAACTATTTTATGTATATATAAACAAATTTATTTCTTTTTCCTTTTGATCCCTGCTCATTCTACATTTTAAAAACAATTTTCAGATAGTGAAAGACAGTTACAATAGTATAATCATATCAAAAATTCAACTAGTGTTACTTTTCAGTTTTCCTAATTATCCTATAAAAGTGTTTTTGTTTGTTAGTCACTTTTGTACTTGTTATGCTCAAAACAAGATCCAGCCCAATTCTATATACTGCATTTGGTAAATACGTGTCAAGTATCTAATTATTAGATCGGTTTTCTATCTTTCTTTTCATTTTTCTTAAAATCTGTTTGTGGATGAAATTGGCATTTTTTTCTTCTCGTTTAATTTTTTTCTGACTGTATCTTCTTCTATGTTCATGACTACTTGCCTGATTTCTCCACTATTTCTTGTAAACTGGTAGTTAATTATAAGCCAGGCTTATTATGTTCAAATATTTAGTTTCTCTCATTTGATGATGGTATTGATCCTTGATTTTTCCCATTATTTCATTGGACTTTAAAAAATGGTACTATAATTCTATTATTTTTATTAGATATATGGCTTCTGTAAATTCATCAATTTTTTGTTTATGTCATGCAACAATTTATAAAATAAGAGAAAGTTATTTACCACTTGCCGTGATACTGAGCACCTAATTTCATTAACCATTGAGCAGTGCGAATTAGTGCACAATTAATGTGTTCCAACCCATTGTAGTTCTTATCCTTGCTCAGTTATGCCTTGGAATCCTTTTTAAATGGACTTTTTTGTCTTTTTAAAATGACTTCAGTTGCTTTTTTTAGTTCCATATTTTCTAGTATTGACAGAAGTTCAATTTCATTTGATGTGTTTCCAGCACAAAGTAATAGCCACACCCCTGATGGACCCCACAGAACACCTAGTCATTCCTGCCTTCAAAGTGACTTGATCACTTTGCTCAGATCTAAAATAATTGCAAACCCCAATGATCATAGTAAATTCCCCAAAGGCTAATTTCTAATGGGTTTTTAAATTTCTGCCAAAGGTGATCTTAGTAGCTGTTTCTGTATTTCTTAAATTGGTTTATATTTTGACTGTTAGCTTTATTTATTATTTAATTATTTATTACTTGCTTGGGGCTTTAAAAGCATAACAATACCATGCTGTTTACCTTTCATACTTTGTCAGAACATTTGCAGTTTACTTATCCATGACCTCATCATTTGCAGTTGAAAAAAGAAGATGATTCCTTTGAGCTTTTCAGGAAACTTTCACATACTTTTGAAGAAAGTATTGTTCTGTTCAGTTGTGAACAAAGCAGTATTTCACACAATTAGAAGATACTTTAATGATTAAAGATTTACACTTTTAAATCTATTCAACACCTGTCATATTTACTATTGTGTTTAAACTATATGCATATATATCTATATTACTTTTATTTTCTGATAACTTCATCTTTTCTCCCTAGGTATACTCTTAAATTGAAGACACCATACCCTCTTAATAGTCTTCAGCTAATTCCCAAGCATGATCCCTACACAGTCCTGTATAAACATCTCCTTCTTCCAGCCACCAGCTTTCCTCCTGGTTGGCCTCCCAGGCCTAGAAGCATTTCACGGCTGGATATCCATCCCCTTCTTGTCCATGTACACTGTGGCACTCACTGGAAACTGCCTCATCATCCTGGCTGTGAAGAGGACCCCTAACCTACACCAGCCCATGTACTACTTCCTGTCCATGCTGGCCCTCAGCGATGTGGGGCTCACCTTGTCCACACTGCCCACCACTCTGTCAGTGCTCTGGTTTGACTACGCCTTCATCGGCTTCAATGCCTGCCTGGTCCAGATGTTCTTCTTGCACGTCTTCTCTGTGGTGGAGTCCTCTGTGCTCCTGGCCATGTCATTTGACCGCTTCGTGGCCATCTCCAACCCTTTGCGCTATGCAGCGGTTCTCACAAATAATGTCATCATCAGAATTGGAATGGCCATTGTAACTCGAGCCACTCTGTCCCTCTTCCCAGTACCCTTCTTGCTGAAGCGACTGAACTATTGCCCTGGCAAAATCGTCTTATCACATTCTTTCTGTTTCCATGCAGATGTCATGAAACGGGCTTGTGCTGACATTACTGTCAACATCCTGTATGGGCTGTATGTGGTTCTGTCCACTGTGGGTCTAGATTCTTTGCTTATTGTCCTGTCCTATACCCTTATTCTTCATACAGTGATGGGGCTGGCATCTCCCAAGGAGCGGGTTCGCGCCCTGAACACCTGTGTTTCCCATATCTTAGCTGTGCTGGTGTTCTACATCCCTGTCATAGGTGTGTCCATGATCCACCGCTTTGGGAGGCACCTCCCCCAGCTCGTACATGCTCTTGTTGCCTATGTGTACCTGGTGGTGCCCCCTGTGCTGAACCCTGTCATCTATAGCATCAAGTCCAAACCCATCAGGGAGGCCATACTCAGAGTGTTAAGGGGAAAATGTCATAGATGACACTGCCAGCTACTCGCAAGTTTTAAGATCTGCAAAGTACTTAGTAAACAACTAAAAAATTAGCAACTTCTGGATGGGCCAAATCCTATCCCTAGCTTTCCTGTCAGCATCTAGCAAAGGAAGTACCACATTGGGATGAAAAATCGTTATTATGATTATGCTGTTATTATGCTATTAATATAAAAACTCAGGACTTCACACATGATAGGCAAATGCTCTCTGCCTAAGCTATAACCCTAGTCCTGATAATTTGATTTTTATTCATTTATTGCCTCATTTATCATATGTATTTCCTCAATACCAACTTTTTTGCCCTATGCTAGGTACCAGGAACAGAGACATTATTCCTGTGTTGCCTTGTCAAATTTGGTACATGTATAAAATATATAAATAGGAAAATATTTAGTACAGTGTAGTATCAGCATTGTTAAATGTGTGGGCAGAGTTCTGGATAAGCAGAGAATCAAGTTACTTATCTGAATGTTCTTTAGTACATTCTATGATTAACTAATAATAATTATAGTTTATAACATAATATTATAATGATCATTTTGATTAATATAGATTATAGAATATAGGAAATGGTAATTAAAGATATTCTGTTCTTTTTATTGTATTAATCATTCATTCATGAATCAGAACAAATGCTATTTGTGCCTCTTTAAGATTCTGAGGCTTCCAACCAACTGGACTCTGGGGAAAATTTTTCTTTTGAGAGCCTCATAGTCCATTTTAGTGGAAAGACAAGAAGTATAATAACAATTGAAAAGTTACTGATATCAGCTAAAAATGGGTAAGACAGTAGAACTTCAGGAGTTTTCTGCAGGTTCTCATTGAGCTCTTGAAAAAGAAGGGTTATATTTTGCAGATGGTAGACTGGGGTGTTGTGAGGAAATAGCAAAACAGTAGTGGAGGCAGACACTGAAAACTGAGAGAGGAGGACGCTGCTTGCATAAAAGCCAGTGGCCAGGTATGATGAGAGAAGACAGCACAGTTGTAGGGCAGAGGACGGAGGGGAAGGCCAGGTTCACACAAGTACAACTTTTCCATTCTGTGCCAAGGAAACTGGATATCCATTTGAACACAGACATGGTCTGCCTCCATGAGCCATGCTACAATCTGAAAGGTAAACAGGGTCTTAAAAGAATCCTTTTAGATAGCATTTATTATCCTCTTTCTGTGCTCTCCTGACAATGAATTTGTCAACACTTCCACATCCAGGAGACTTTCATCCTTCTTGTGTGCATACCTGCTACATGTCCTCTTAGGAATTAATAAACACTTCATACCTTTTCCTTATCCACCACAGTTACAGTTCATGTTATGATTTTATCATATAATGTAACACAAACATCCGAACTGCTTTCACCAAAGGCAGAACTTACTGCCCAGCCCCTCTCTTTTTCTAGGCAACCCATCAGGTTGCCTGATGGAGGGGCCAGAGGATTACCTCTAAGTGTACCATGTGTGCCTGAAATTCAAAGACTAGCAAGTGTTAAACCTTTCTCTTGAAGTAGGAACCATCAGGTAAAATAACTGTCCTTACCACAGAAAACTATGCTGACAGAACAAGGCTGCTAAGTCTGTCAAAACTTCACTAATGTCACAGCCTGCTGAATTTTTGAGGAGCTAATCAAAATTTCATATTACCGGGCATTCTGGACATTTGCTGAGTCCTATCTCTAATACCTTGGTGAGCACTCTCAACGTTCATCTTCAAACATCCTATTTCTTCAGGTTTTTTAAAGCTCTTTCAGTACATAATGTTTTTCTTCTTTGATAGAGCCATTCTGTTCTCAGGACTTAGTGAATCTTTAACTTAGTTATTAATTCTCAGCAGCCTGACTCCAGAGTTGTCTAACTGTGCCTCCTTCAAATAAATAGAAAGATACGCTCTCTTAAACTGAGGAAAAGAAGTGAGAGTAGACCGCTGCAGGATCCAAACTTGTTGAAAATATGTCTCAGGAAGGCTAGGCTAGAGTTCTGGATGTTCATGTCTCTAAGCTCTCTGAAGTTAACTTTCTCCTCACTGCTCCCTCAGACTATCTCATCTGCATCCACACCTCAGGGGGAAACCTGAGCAGAGAGAGAGATTTCTTCGAGGTGAAGCCCTTTTTCCTTGGAGATTGGCTGCATTTTCTTGTAGCAGAATAAATAAGAGAGGAAATGTAGAGGAGGGTATTTCTGGGTTTCTATAGGATGTGGCACAACCAGGCAGCCTAGGACAGGAGCCAGGGTGAGTAATGAGGGCCCACACTCAGACCTTTATTTCCAGAGTGCTGGAGGGCTCATCCTCTTCACCCCCAAAAGAAAAATCAAAGAAAAGAATGACAGAAACCAGATGTAGTCTTAGACTTAAACTAGTTAAGGAAAAGGATAAATCAGAAATTATTGTGTATGTGGCTTTGTGGGGCTTATTTAAATGCATGAATGAATGCAATAAAAAAAACTTTAAATTTGAGAGCAGGAAAACTCTTGGGCAGGTAAAGTTAAAGGAATAAATTTGTGATTTGTAGTTTTATTTGAATAAAATAGCTTATTTTTTTTAATCAGAGAAAAATGAAGTGGCAAAGTAAAAGAGAAGTATATTTTAGAAACACTGAATCTTGCAATTACTGCAGGTCCAAGTTCAAAAGATAGGATCCATTTCAAGCCCCTGATTTTACAGATAAAGTTGAGCACAATGCAAGAAAATTAGCCTGACATCCTGCATAATCTTAGACAAACAGTGTGCTTCATTCTTTAAAAATGAAGTATTTGGTATCAAACAGAATCAAAAATGAATTATCCTACCAACTCAATGGATTTATCTATGTCTCTATCTGTATGAAATGGAAAAGGTTGGACCTATCTTACAATGTTATGTCAAAACTAAGGGATTGTATACCAAAGCTGTGCTCCAGCACACAGCATATGAAACTTATTTAGAGTACCGTAGCACTGTTAAATATCAAAACATGACTGAAATTCCTAGAGTGGGCCACATATACACAGTATACACAATTTTGTGATTTTACTGAATCCACAAACCTCTTTTCTGCCTGTAAACTACAGTTGCAAAAGTTGAAATTCATTCTGCCTCATGCTGTATGTTATTGCAACTTCAACAGTTGAGAGACATGCAGTTATTTCAGGTTTTCCAGTTCCAGACACCTGAATATGCCAGCACTGAACTCGATATGAAGGTACAAGAGGACTGGCATAGAAAATGATTATGAAGTTGCATGGAGCAGGGGTGAGCCAATTCTAAATGTGATGCTTTAAGAAGAGACAATTAGACAAAATTAGACAGTTTGAGAAATCTGTAGGGCATGTTGGGGAGAGGAGAAGAGGTGGTAATGTAGATGTAGATCATAGGCAAGGAAGACAGCCAAGCAGCTGTCCTAAGAAACTGTAAGCAAAATGACATTATGAGAAACTGTTATGCAATACTGCACAGTATTTCTCAAATTTTTTTCACTATATTTGATTCATCTTTCCTTGCAGTTATTCTGAAATGTAGACCCTGAAGGATTACTATTCCTGCTTTAGGGATGATATAGCTGATATTCAGAGGTTGACTTGGTTATATCATTCCTCTGCCTAAAATCCTTGAATGATTGCCTTGTGTACTCAACTAACATCCACTTGATATGGTCTCCACGCTCTTGGAAAGCAGCACCTACCTAACTCTCCACTTGTACTGCCAACAGCCTACCTGTTACACAGGAGTCCTGAGGGATGCAAATCTTATTTTATCTGCTGTTCCCTGTCTACACTCTCCTTGCTTTCAACATGGAAGCTTCCTCATTATTTTGATCTTAAGTATCATCATTTCAAAGCGCTGTTGTTCACACAACCCTCACCAAGTCAGTCCACTGGGCGCCACACTCCATGTGTTAAATTCACCCCACAATTCTTAGCTTTCCTTGTACCAATGAATACGTTTTTCACCTTACAATTAGTTCTCCCTGTGAAATTTTTCTATCTTTCTCTTTAGACTACAAGATCCATGACTATAGCAGCCATCTGGTTTTGTTTGTTAACACATAACTCTTGCAGAGTGCAATGCCTAAAATGAAGTAAAATCTAGATCAACCTTTACTTGTTGGAATGAATAAATAATATAATGATTAACCAAGTCTATAAACATATGAAGGAAAGGCTAACAAAAGATGAGATGCATTCCCTAGGCTTCAGATACTGGGATCAGGGGCTGATTTGTAAGAGGAGGCAATCATGTTACACAAGTAGATGATTTTCACATATGCTTGAGTTTTGTGTGAATGTGAAGAGAAGGGGAATTTGGCTAATTTTCTGAACAGTGTATTTTTATCATATCAACAAGGAATTTCATATATTTCATCTATCCATACCCTACTTTACAAAATCCAGTGAAAATCCGCAACAGACGGCTATAGTATTATAGCTTGATGTCAGATGAAATGTAGAATGTTAAGATTGCTGAGCTTTTTCTTATTGATTCAATTTCTCTGTCCAATATATTTTATATCTGTGCTCCCCCTCCAAGTGTTCAAGCCCTACCTACAGTAACAACAAAAATCATGTCTGTGGTGCTTTGCACTTTAATTTTTCACATATTTTGTCCCATCTGAAGAGGCCACTGGAAGAGTATTGGGTTTGGAATCAGACAAAGGTTCATCCAAACTCTAAGACTGTAGTATGTGAGCCTCTCACCAGAAATCAGCTGCTACAGTTCTTGATATTCAGTTTCCCAAGCTATATCATTATACATGGTAAATATGGCACTGTTCAGGATCTCCGTTAATTCTGACCTTTGGGAAATCCATTGACGATAAATCATGGAATTTTTATTCCATAAATCATGGAATTCAAAATTATATCAAAGGAAAGCTAAGGGCAGGAAAAACAAACAAGCTCAAGAATAATTGAGTATATAAAACGTAAGGGAAAAAAGCAATTACTCCCTCTCTTGGACACTTTTTGTGAGGCCATGCAATCTCTCATACTTCCTTGCATTTCTCAGTTAATCTAATTCA